AAAGATCAGCACCAATCACCATCAACATGAGGAAGAGATTTAACAGAGGTTGCCTCCTTCACTTATCCATCAGGAGGATTGTTTAAACTACAAACGGATAACACGGATGTAGATGTGAAGGCAGGCCAGCTAGAATCGGGAAGGCTAGATACGTCTTCATCAAACTTAAATCAGTTTGGAAATCTTCTGTTTAACTCACTCAGCCAGCACAAAGAACGAGAATCGGATTCTTTTAAGGACAAATGTGAAATCAGTCACTGCTTCTATACGCGTCAGAAACTTGCACTGTATGTGTGTCACGAGAAGTATTTCCAACAGCCAGTTGCAGACTGTCATCAACAGCCACCCACTTCGCTGGCTGCCTGAATACTGAAGATTAAATGGCAGGTCAACCGGCCAGAAAGAATTAGTAACAAGAAACGCTGGCTGGAAACAAACCAGTAAGCAAGACGCAGTCGTTCAACAAATATGTAGAAGAAAGTGGAGATAGATCGGGCATACACCATTGAGGAGGTCATCGAATGGCATCGCGTGCAGTGCAGACCAGTGCTCGAGTTGGAAGCGATGAGAGATTATGGTCAATCATGGAGTCGGGCAGCTGAGGAGGCTAGCAGAACATACAAAAAGGTGGAGATATTTTGCTGAAGTCGTATGTCCCACTCAGAACTCAAGGGAATCATAATATTATAAAAACTTAGTTTATTCATTCTGCTTGCAATCTAGTATCGCTTTATGTGACTTCGAGTTTTTATTAGCCCTTATCTACTACTACTAAGTTTATCTGAACATTTTTGTTTGTTTAATCATGACGTTTTTCTTTATCCTTGTAATCGCAAACTGAGCCACTTTTTTATAACTTTTATTAGTGGAATAATTACTATTATTATTATTATTACGACTAATTACACAATCTTATCATCTTATTAACCGGTTACTACGACTGGTTTATATTCAATCATATTTAAATCTCTGAAGTTATGTAAATCAGAGTTAAACCTAATGAGATCTAATTGAAAATAATACTGCTCACGCGTATATGTGTCGTTCTATAATCGATTGTATTAAAAAGATTTATTGAATTAGCTGTGCTCTGTGAAGAAGACGAGAGACTCGATGAAGGAATGTTTACTTGGAATTGAGTATCTCTATACAGAGAGTTAATGTACACCTTGTCTGTTAACCGTTATTTTCACAGATCTTCCATGTCGTTCTACTTCTGACCTTCGTATTGTGGTTTTTCTTGCCTTCTTTTCGTGTCTCCCATGTTTTTCCTGCAATGCTGAATCATTTGCTCTTTTTGACGTCAAATCTATCCACTATTTGATATTTTATGCAAATGTTTTTATACTACTGATAAATCTTATGAGTAGCACACGTTTCGATGATACTTTAAGGTTAATTTATGGTACGACGCACGTATTGTCCCAATTGTGACTCAAAAGGTGTGTGTAACTACATCTCTGATGAGTGATGGTGACCCCATTAAACGAATCCAGCATCCATTGTTTCAAATGCCAAAGCATTAACGACTATGCCACGACATGTACCTTGTATATAAAAAGTTTTAGTTGTTATTTATCGAAGCTCACTGAGTTTCTGGCATTGATTGAATTCACTCAAACAAAGTGTTCTGTATGTGTGTGTGTCAGTATATCACAGCTGCTGGTACAAAAGCCTTGTCCAAACACACCTTAAGATTCATTGAATGGGTCCTATTCTGATTGATGGCTCCGTATTGAAGAATAAATATTATCACTATCACTATTATCATTATTTATTTTATTTTTACATTTCCCTACATACTTTTGACTAATTTATCAGGGTAATTATTAAGTTTCAAGGCTTCTCTTATATGTTTCACTTCCTGTCTTAGATTTTCCTTCATACTAATTAGTTTTTGTGTTCTATTACTTAAACATTTCACCAGTCCTATTTTTACTGACATAGATTAGGTGGGATGATCGGAAGTCCAAATATCTGTTTGAATGTTTGGGTTTCCTGTAAACACACACACTAGTGTTTAACTTCCTATCTTCTTTCCCTTTTACGTTGCAATCTAACATTGGAAGCTTCCCTTCCTGACTTTCCAATTCATAAGTGAATTGAATTGCTTCCACCTTTGAGTTGATGTGTTTGAAAAATCTATCTATACCCTGATTATTAAGTACAGTGAATGTGTAATCTACATACCTCCACAATATGTTTTCCATGAATATATCTGCTATAACCGGGGATATTGGTGACCTCATGACAACTCCCTCAGTTTGTTTGTATATTTTCCCTTGGAGGAATTTAAACACTTTGGGAGTCAGGCATAATTGTATTCCCAGCATTGTGTCCTCAAGTGGCACTTTTGTCCCAATTTCGAGTTCTTGGTCGGAAATGAGTTCGTCTCTGACTGCCTCTATAGCCGTATTTACTATTGGTATACGTGTATATAAACTGACAATGTCAAAACTAATCATTTTTTCTTCATTATCTAATTTTAAATTATCTAATCTGTCTGTGTTTTAGTTCATAAGAATTAGTTAGTCTAGATTTCGAGTGGCTTTTTAGGGGATTTAATACCATGGCTAAAAATTTAGATGATTCATAAGCTGCCTACTTTCACTGACTCCATATTGAAATTTAAATGGCTGGCCATAAGGAATTAACAACAAGGAACTGTAGGAACAAATCAACCAAGAGTCGATTGGTCAAAAAATATGTAGAAGAAAATGGAGATGGGTTGGGCACACTCCACTGAGAAGACAATTTCAAATGATGTCACGAACAACCAGTAAGGCCCTCGAGTGGAAAGTGAGTGAGAAACGACAAGTCAGACGTCCGAATGTCACATGATAGATTTCTTGAGAGTAGAAAATCACACACTATGCGCCGCTAGCTAAAGAGAAACGCAGAGAATAGGACAAAGTAGAGATGTCGTGCTGAAGCCGTATATGTTCCATTAGTAAACCAAGAGAACAATAAAAAAAATTAATAATGATACTTATCAGTGGAATGTGTATACTGTATTTTAAAGCTACAGAGACACTGACATCTTTTCAAAACAGACGAAAAAGTATATGCTTTGTTTTCTATTGCCCGCCTTTTAAATTCAAATACATTGTGTAATGCGATACTGGAGCGTCTAGATCTTCATCATTACTGTTAAGATACAATTGGCGGATGGTGGCTAGCAGTGGAACCCAGCACAACACGCCTTTCGTCCTATTTGGGACTCGTCATCTGGATGTACCTGCATTTCTCAGTGAGTGATGATGTTCCCACCGAGGCTCGAACCCAATACCCATAGTTTCAAACGACAAAGCGTTATCCACTAGACCACTTGGGCCACGAGAGCCACCTCTTGTGCAACGGGGTCATATTAATTATTGAATTGAATTTTTGATTTTCCCGTCGATTGATTGTATACTAACTAAATGCCCGGACATCGTCGAAGCATCTGCACAAGAAGCCGACATGTTAACCTGAGACCGAGCACTTCGGTCCAATCAATCGACGGGAAAATCAAAAATTCAATTCAATAACTACTGTTAAGAGTTCATGAATTCTTCTTGTACGGCTCATTTTGCCTGTTCTTTTTTGTTGTTGTTAACATTTTGCATGTTTTCTATGGCTAAATCAACCTTTTTTTACACTGGCCTGTAGTAGTAGTAGTAAATTGCCATTAAAAATCAACCAATAGAAACCGAGCAAGTCAATCTGATGCAAATATGATTGAGAACCTGCCTGTAGTTATTTTCGAATAGTAGAGTTTTAATGTCAGACAGCAGAATATTCTAGCATAAAACTATGGCTAAAAAATAGGTGGATTTTGGTATTACTTTCAGTGTCACTCAGTTAAACTTATATGTTGAAAGGACATGTGTTCCTCTTTGAGTCGGAGTCGAAATGATGGAAACAATATACAGGTGATTTGGCAGCTACTTCGCTACTACTAAGGGGTGCCACCGACAATTATACATCTCATCCAACAGTTGTACGACAGTGCTACATGCCAGGTAATCCACAACGGGAAATTTACGGAATCTTCCGAAGTGAAGACGGGAGTAAGACACGCTGGCTGCCTACTATCGCCAATGATTTTCCTGATTGCAGTAGACTGGATAATGCGACAGACAACGGGCAGTAAGGAAACAGGCATAAAATGGACTCACACAAAAGACTTAGAGGATCTGGACTTCGCCGATGATATATGTGTCTGATTTCCCACAAACAAACTGGAAGATATGTAAGTGAAAAGCAACAAGTTGTCAGAAGAAGTGTCAAAGACAGGACTTCACGTGAACATAGAGAAAACAGAGGTAGGTGATGAAGATTCCTGGCCAACACCAACAGCAACAACAGAAAACAATCAGCCAGCATAAATGGGAGGAACCTGAAAGAAACAGCCTTCTTTACCCACTTACTTTGGAAGCATCGTTTCAACTAAAGGCGGGCGGAACTGACGAGGATATCAAAGTGCGAGGACCGGGAAAGCGAGACAAGCTGTCATTACTCACGTCAAGTCTGTGTGGAGATCAACAGCACTACTCAGCATGAAAACGAATATAAGATCCGATTTTCAACTCCAATGTGAATTCATCTCCACTTACTCTACGGATCAGAGACTTGGCGCCGCGTCACGAAAGGAACTTCGAACAAACTACAAACCTTCATCAACAGCTGTCTTCGCTCAATACTACTCAAGATCAGATGGCCGGCCAGAAAAGATCAGCAACAGAGATCTCTGGGAGCGAATCAACCCAGCAGGAACCGATTGTGCAACAAATAAGCAGGAAGAAATGGAGATGGATTGGTCACACTAGACAAGTCACAGCTCGAGTGGAACCCGAAATGGAAGCAGCGAGTTGATCGTCAGTGCAAGAGTGACTTGGAGGAGGAGGTCATGTGAAGAGGAGAGATGAAAGCATGTGGGTTGTAGACTTGGAGCGACGTGAAAACGTTAGCAAAGAACCGAAGGCGCAATGGAGACGTCAGGTTGAAGCCCTCTGGAATTAAAAGAAATAATAATATACACATGTATAGTTATTTATATTTCATTAATATTGTAATGCAATAATAATATATATAATAGGGTATATTATCATTAGCTCGTAGCAATAGTAATAATATTAAGTCTTTAGACAATAAACGAATACAAATCTCTTGGAGTTTACTTTTTCTGTGTACACATAAAGAACACACCTTATACATTGAAATCAGAAGACAGTGAATCAACACACACACACACACACACACACGTGCACATGCACACACGAAAAAAAATAAACAAACAAGTTTTTGACCACTGTACATAGAATATTGAAAGAAAAATAAGACCAAAAATATGAATAAAACCAATAGGGGTGGGGTGGGGGGAGAGAAAGACAAATAAGCAACTGTGAGTGGTCGGTCGGTCGATTGGTTGGTTGGCTGGCTGGCTGGGTATTGAGGCAATAAACTGTTCAGTTCATTGAGGAGTTAGTTGGTCATGAGGTGGTGATGATTAGTGAGGTCAATTTGATGAAGAGGCATGCTGAAAACGAAATGCATTTTGGAAAAATATCACTTAGGATTTACTCTTAAAGATCTTAAAGAGGTATGCATAAAAGTAGATTATTTGTGCGTATTATAGTTCTCTTTTTGCTTATTTTTGTGATGTAATACGACGACGTACCAGGAAGAAATCGATTATACATACAAAATAACATGGCTGGTTAACTGACTGACTGACTAACTTGTGTCGTAATTGATGACACTGTACGAAATTAGAGTAGAGAAGAGGACTGAAGAAGAAGGGCAACACAAAGGGAAGCGAAGAGCATATTTTTGAGGAGTAATACTTTAATATACTACTATTCAAGTAATTATAAACAATTTACATAAAATAGATAGATAGATAGATAAATACATACAAATACATAAATCAAATCAAATATGGCTGAAGTATGTACATAAAATGTGAAGAGAAGAAAAGTCCCAACACATAACTGGTCAAAGATATACACCCACCCACACCCACACACGCACACACACACACACAAATCCAGACGTCTATTCGTCTTCCCAGTTATCTCAATCTACACACTATGATGTGAAGCATTATTATCGATCGATCGATTGATTGATTAACGTATGACTCACTCATTTGATGCCTTAACTTAAATCAACTAAACTAAACTGTCGACGGACTAGAGTGTACATGCACTCATGGCATTGTGTATTTGGATGAAATAAGATAAGATCGATTTTCAAAGGAAAACAAGTCATAAAATATACAACAAAACAATTTTTAAAAAATGCAATAGAATTACTACTATTAGTCATTAATGAATAATGATACATTCATTCATACGCACACATATATGCATCAATTTTTCACGCATTCAAACAAAACAAAACAAAACAAAAAAATTCAAAATTCCCGCCGACATCTTATCCGCTCAATTTAAACTAATTTATAGCTAATAAAAATGATAGTAATGTATGATACAGTGAGAAGCATAAAATTCGAGGAGGATTTTAAGTAAAAATAAAATAAAATAAATAAATAAATAGAAGTAGTTAACACTAAAAAGAGGGTATACATACAAGAATCGCTAAATAAAGTTGGCGGTAAAAATAAAACTGAATGATGAATTGAACAAGAAAGCTAATGAAGATAAAATCCACTGTACATTAGAGGATACATTAAGATAGCAAAAACATTAGTGTAGGAGAAGGTGAGTAGACGGAGTGTGGTGAATTATGTTGACACATCTGTACACACACACACACACATAGGAGGAGACATCTTAGAAAGATAGATAATTAACAGTGATAAATGACAATTATACACAGTCACACATTGACAAGAAAACAACAACAACAACAACTTTGTATGTATGACGTAAGCATAAGGAAGCGCCTACGAGAACAATAAGAATAAGATAAAGACCACATAGAAACAGCACACACACACACAACTCACACACAATAAATCAATAAAGGCACATTTTTAAAGATCAAAAAACGTCATTTGAATGGAGGTCAAATAGAAAAACAAACAAGCATAGGAAGCATGAAAAATAAAAGACACGCAAAAAAAGGGAAGTACACAATTTTCATCTGATTTCTTTAGTATTTTCTGGCTGTCCATCGCATTTCACCCCACCCTAGCCCATGGTCCGTAAAAGAAATTTATCAAGAAGCTATTGAACTAACTAACTAATCCCCACTCCACCAGTGTCATCATCGTCTTTAGCATTCGGTGTTTTATTGCCACCAGTATCACAATGATTATCGCTTATAGGTGGTGGTGGTGGTTGGTAATTGTGTTTTGATAGTTGTGAGACAAGTGCTTGATGAATAAATGCATATTGTTTGGCAACTTGTACAGCACCAGCACGTTGACATCTTAGCTGGCTGACAACCTCTGGTACATCAAGGTAGCCTTCATTAATTGCTTGTTGTAGACAGATGTCAGTTGTAACAAATGTTCCTGTAAAAAACAATGAAACGTAAAAAAAAGAAGAAAAGTTACCCCACACTACTTAATTGATGATGTCATCGATTGACTGATTACAGTGTAAAAGGGATGTTCGAGATTTCATTCAGTATGCAAAACATCTTCTTATCGTTATTATGTAACCGTTGTTCAGACAGTTTTATACATAAACAAGTGAACAGAGGTTAGTGATTAACGGGAAAACAGGCTATTGTGTACTTATGTGTGTGTGTATGGATGCGAGGGCGCACACCACCAACCTTAGCTCGCCATCTTCATTATTCAAAGCAGTTGGTGTTGGTTCACAGGGATTCGCGTTTGCTTTCAAATTTGATCACGGATTGATATCATCAGTGAGAGAGCCATTGGAAGATCAGGCAGTCCTAGTTTGGAATTCTTCAGCAGTAATCACCTACTGGAGTTCAAACTCAGGACTTTCCGGCTACAAGGCGATCTCGTAGACTATTCAGTCACTGGGACCCCGATTCCAACTTCTACAAATTCACGACATATAGCGCAACCTCTAGCCTATGTAATAGGTGAATAATCGTTGCCCTTAGCCCACCGGCTAGGGCTTCTCACCCGAACTGCAGATAACCTCCCTGTCTATAGTCAAGTGGCTAGTCAGCATCAAATTAATTATCAAGCGTTGTGGTTTGTAGGGGATTGATTGTAACTTTGTAAGATGCTGGGTTCGAACACTGATGGGTGCATACTGATGAACAGCCCAAACAGACGAGACAGCTATCCAGTACTCCTAGATTTTCCAATGATTCTCAAAATGATCTCAGCTTGTGATCAAATCTTTATGAATTGTAATAAGACATACGTATAAAACTTGGGCACTGTGGTAGAGTATAATTCCATTATGGATAAGATTTTATTTTGATAAATCACACACAGTGTTGTACAGTTATATTAACTGATGACGTTTCGAGCACAAACTATTGCTCATAATCATATCAAGACTTGATATTATGACTTTTGGTGACTTGATATGGTGACTTGTAGGAGGGGGAGGATGCTGACAAAATGCAGAGTCTTCTGAACACCTTGAGCAGCAATCTTCGTATTTTGGCATGCGATTCGCCCCTGCAAAATGTAAGATGCTGCTACAGGACTGGACCACGTCAACCCCTAACTTAGTGATAGGGAGTGAAGTGATAGAACATGTTGACCACTTCACCTACTTGGGAAGTTGTATTAGCACCAACGGACTGATTGGCGATGAAATCTCAACACGGATCCGAAAAGCTCGAGCTGCTTTCGCTGACTTACACCATCTCTGGCGTAGGCGTGACATCCGGTTATCAACCAAGGGACGTGTGTACTGCTCATCAGTTCGCTCCGTCCTTCTCTATGGCTCTGAAACATGGCCAATACGAGTTGTTGAAGACATGAAAAGGTTAACTGCTTTCGATCATAGATGTCTGCGATCCCTATCTCACGTTAGGTGGTATAATAAGGTAAGTAATGTTGACGTTAGGCGTAGAGTGTTGGGCAGACAAAGAGGGAAAATCAATCGACGAGGCTATAAAGTTACATAGATTGAGTGAGATGGCTAGGTGACGTTCTGCGCATGCCTAACCATCGCCCCCCCTCCCCGAAGGGCATTACTAGCTGATATAGGTTCAGGTTGGAAAAGAGTAAGTGGTGGCCAAACAAAAACATGGCCTCATCAATCCATGAAATCCTTGACAGTTAAAGTGAGTCAGGTAGGGAGATGCGGATTTCCGGGTTGGGGCCCTCGGGACTCTAGGAATTAATGGCTGGAGACAATAGGTGACATGGCTCAAAATCGTTGTCAATGGCGCAGATGTATTCAATCTCTGTAATCTTTCATATTCCTTTCTACCATTACCCATTCTGTTTCACTCTTATATTTGTCAAACTCTATTAATTCTCTCCACTCATCTTCTTGTCTACCTCTGTGTGCTATTTGGAACGTGGCAACTCGAACTGCTGCACTTCGGTGCCAAGTTCTATGTTGAATCCAGACAGAGACTTGTAGGAGGTCATGTGAAGAGGCGGAGATGAAAGCATGTGGGTTGCAGACTTGAAGCCAGGTGGAAACGTTGGCAGAGAACCAAACGCTCAATGGAGACGCGCGGCTGAAGCCCTATGTTCCTCTAGGAATTAAAGGATATAATATAATAATAATATGATAATAATTCTCGTCAAGTTGGACTTGACTCACAACGCTGTATCACTCTTTCATAAAACAGTATATTACGAATGATAAATGAAAATAAAGGGGAGAGGGGTGGGCGGAACAATAAACAATAACAACAATAGAAGGCCACTACTACTCAACCCGGCTTACCTGTACGTCCGATACCAGCACTACAATGCACTAGTAGTGGTGATGTAGACATTGAATTCTTACTATAAGTAGGATAATTTGGCATTGATGAAGACGACGACGACGACGAATGGCGATGGGGATGGAGATGATGAAGATGGTGAGACAACCGGTACTGATGATCTTGTCTTATGACTTTGTTTAACAGTGAATAGAAATTTTAAAAAACCATCTGAATCGATTGGTACATCAAAATCTGGCCAACCTAAATACAAATAATGATATACTTCTAATTTATTCTCTGATGGATTCGTTGACGATGGAACATTGGAATCCTACGAAAAGAACAAACAAGAAAAATAAGGATAGAAGAAAATCAGAAAAATATGCTTAGATGAATGGCTCTGTATGGATGACTCTAAACTATAGAGCAACTACCTACCTAATAAAGACCTTGACAAATCTCTATCGACCAATCAGATGCGTCCGAAGCAGGAATGCGTAATTTGAAAAAAGGTGTTTATATGTATGAGTAATACAGCGTTAAAAAGTAGTTACATAGATTAACCTCCTTGTATATGTTCCGAGAAAAGCTTTCTTTCTTATAGGAGTCATCACAGTTAGGTTTAACCAATTTCTATGCGTAAATTCGTCGGGATAACTGTACAAATCATCGTGTTTCTTGACTGATTCACCGCTTCAACACTCTTTGTTTTTAGGTGACTCTAGAGACTTTCGACGTAATTTGTTTGGGTCCCATTGGAAAGATTGACAAAATCGTCTGTATTATTGACCACGTTATAATAAATACGCCACACGGGTGACAGTTGGCAAAACATTTTTTCCGTTCCAATGAGCCTGTGATCTAAGCAGTACTTAAATATAGTACATAATTCGTGTATAGCACCCATAATTCCAAATATATACTACAGACTCACCTGACTGGTTGCTAAAGGTCATTAATCCGTTCCTTAGGCAGTTCCGTTTTGAGCTGCTACACTTTAGAGTCAGCACTCTAAGTACTACTGACTGATCGTTGTGAGTAGTTGCATACCACTCAAATTAACTAGTAGTGCTTACTAGTCAAGCAGATCAAAGTGATCTGAACATTGGGAGGTCATTTCACTTCTTTGGCACCGAGACCATCAATGGTGGCAAATCAGTTGAAATCACCATAAACAAGCGAAACAGCAGTTTGGTGTATAGATCACTTTGATCTGACTAGCTCGCAAGCACTACTGGTTGATATGAGTGGTGTTCAACTACTCATGTCATCATGTATTTATGTACTTGTTCTCTCGATTGCCATTTATGGTATGGTGACAGCTGTCTGCTAGCCAAATTGGTAGACAGCAATTTACGTCAATGTTAACGTCCCGAATTAGGGTCATGAGAAAAGAACGAGAACAAAGATTAACTCAACAACAAACCACAGCAGACTTTGCGTGGGCGGATACGATATATGGCCTGGCTTTCTAAGAAACGGCCACAAAGAGATGACAGAATAACCTTGAGCAAGAAAACAGCCAATCAGAAGACCCTGTTTCTTTGCTAGTAATAACGAATAATAATGTACATAAAAATCTATAAATATCTGTTGATTTTCTCAATAACGATCTATTGCTTGACTCTTGTCTTCTGTCGTTACAATGGTGTCAAACACACCACATACTATGAACTGAATAAGTGTCATTTCACCGCGAATCAAGAATTTAATTTAAAGATGCCTAAGTTTTGATGAATAAAGGTAAATGTTAGAATTCATTGGCCATTGAATTCCATACCAGTTGCAAAATAGTCAACAAGGCACCTGGTAACCTAAATTTTCCGGGTACTCCCATAATCGACCTGGTAGGTTCGAGGGTAGGTAGACTTTGGTCTTCGTGTAACTCCACGTTCATAGTCTCTGTCAAGTAAATCCTACTCACTACCTTCATGCAGTTGCTAGTGTTCCTCACAAAGATGAAAGAGGGAACGTCTGCCGCTTCCAACAGGACTAGCAGACAGGCAGGTCTATGTAGGCGAAATGGATAACCTTAGTTCCAAACTTATGATGTGCATGGGCTCCAAAATCCGAAAGGATCGAATGATGTATAAGCCTACTTTGGTCACCGGAAACCATGAAATGCTGCTCCATTAACCTGGAGATTGAACTTCAAGTCAAAGAGTCGGAGGATAACTCCTTGGTGGGACAACCACCTGCTTCAGTCTGAGTGTCCGGGAAGTATCTTAACCCTGGTACAAACTAAGTGATTTGTGTGGAGCATCTCTTGGTGCTTGATTAAAATGTACCCAGTTTGTATTTTAACAACAACAATAATAATAATAAAAGTCGAATAGAGTTCCAGGGTTCGACCCTTGGTAAGGTTATGGCAGGGTACTGCTACTGATATCTGTGAAACTAGAGAGAAACAGCTGTCCTCTGTATTCCCTGATAGTTTCCATTCATATTGACATTATTTTATTATTATTTTAACTAAACAGTTAGAGACTTCATGGATCGATACCAGAAAGTCCATGGTTAGGCAAGCATAACACAAAGATACACACAACAAATCTGTGTGGAGGTCAACAGCACTCAGCATCAAAAATAACATCCGGATTTTCAACTCCAATGTAAAGTCAGTGCTACTATACGGATCAGAGACCTGGCGAGTCATAAAGAGCATCTCAAACAAACTTCAAACCTTCATTAACAGCTGTCTTCGCTCAATACTACTCAAGATCAGATGGCTGGTCAGAAAAGATCAGCAACAGAGATCTCTGGGAGCGAATCAACCAGCAGGAACCGATTGCGCAACAAATAAGCAAGAAGAAATGGAGATGGATTGGCCATACTCTGAGGAAACCATCAAGTGACATCACTAGACAAGCTCCGAGTGGAACCCGAAAGAGAGGAGGCGAGTTGGTCGTCCAAGGGTGACTTGGAGGAGGTCATGCGAGGAGGAGATGAAAGCATGTGGACAGAACTGGAGCGGGGTGAAAAAGTTGTCAGAAAACAGAAGGCAATGGAGGTGCGCAGCTGAAGCCCTATGTTCCTCTAGGAACTAAAGGATACAATAATAATAATAATAATAATACACAACTTCATCGATAGAACTTTCTCTCCTTACGCAACAGTCTGTGCTTTATCCTCATAATTATTATTACTAACAAAACTGTAACTACTATAATATGTACAATTTTAAATTAGCCACCCATGTTAAGGCCATGTGTACTTAGATAATATAAACAATACAGTTTGTTCAATAGAACTTGAACTTAAATTTAAAAGGAATGAAATTATAGAAAATCACGTTGGATAGGTTTCTACATTATAATTAAATACAACTATAGTGTAATATATCCTTTTCTTTTTCGGAATTCGGATGACATCAGATGTTAAATAGACGGGGTTGTGTGAACACAACCATGTTGAAATCAAGGCAGGAAAACTAACTAACTAACTGACTACGAATATGGCTGTTATTCATTATGGAATTACATCAAATTAAATAATATTGATTGTAATATAGTGAATGTTGTATACAACATCATCTGCTGTGTAAGATCACTTGGCATTCAGAGTGTGTTGCGGTCGTATAAACGGTGATCGGTAAGAGAAAAGCGGTGATGGTATGTATGTGTGTGTGTGCGTGTGTGCGCGTATTTTTTGGACAGAAAACCAGGACATGACCTAATCTACATTGAGACAAAATAGGCAAATGGGGTGGGGAAGGGCAGGAGATAGAATGAAAGCTAATTCACAGTTAGTTACATAGATAAACTAATTTTAAGATATACACACATATATATCCAATTATGTAAACATTTCATTTGAAAATTTCACAGAGTTATATGAAGTGAAGTTTCAATAGCTAGATTAACAACTAGTTTGGCTTGTATGATATTCTTATTTCTTGACACTGTTATGTGATTAACAATAACAGGAAGAAAATTATATAACCGGGAATACGACTTAGTATCCCACAAGGTGGTGGAGCAGCGTCAGGAGCCCCTTTCCCATGGTTTCCAGTGACCCAAACGAGCTCATACGCCATTCGACTCAGTCGAATTCTGCAGTCTGTAGGCACCATGAATTTGGATTGTCCATCTCTTCATGTTTACCGATCCGGTTGTAAGTGACAGAGTTTCTAGTTCGCCCTTCCACTTTTGTGAGGAACACCGTTGTCGTGTGAAAGCAGTGGATAGGACTTACGTGTAGAAGTAGGAATGAACGCATGGTCACTTGAGAGCATTTCGAGAGGAAGACCAAAGTCTACCCGCTCTCGGCTGTACCGGGTCGTTTCTGGGGCTCCGTATGGAATATAGGGCTTCATTAGTACGTTTCTTTTCATCCTGTTCTCTGCAGTCTTTATTAGCTGGCTCCACAATTACCGGTAAGCTTTCATTTTCTATGTCACCCTCGGATGCCCAACTTGTCATTTTTTATTGGGGTTTCACATGAAGGTTCTTGACCATGATGTCACCCAACGCTTATCTCGCTGTATGTCGAGTCTGTTTCCATTTCTTTTTGCTTAGTTGGCTGGTTGCCTGAGTTCTTTGTTGCTGATTCTATCTGACCTGGCCATTTGATCTTCGATATAAAGCGAAGGCAGCTGGTTGCGCTCTATTTCCCGTGTAAAGTGGCATAATAAGGTGAGCAACATTGAAGTTAGACGTAGAGTTCTAGGTAAACAGGGAAATCAATCGACGAAGTCGTGAAGTTACAAAGACTGAGATGGTTAGGACATGTGTTACGTATGCCAAGTCATCGCCTCCCTCGACGAGCAATGTTAGCGGATATAGGGTCAGGCTGGAAAAAAGCTAGCGGTGGTCAAACAAAAACATGGCCTCACCAGTCAGTGAAATCCACAACAGTTGGTCTAAGCCACGTAGGAAGGTGTAGACTTCCTGACTGGTGGCATTTCTCGGAACGGTAAAAATCAATGGCTGGAAACAATTGGTGATATGGCTCAAACTCATCGTTCTCAATGGCTAGCTCAGATGCATCCACTCCTTGTGACTTATGATCTCCAATGAAACTGTTTTGTTCTTCGTTATTACTCCTTTGTCTCACACCTCTGCTCACTGTCTCTATTATGCCTTCTTGTACTTTCTTCTCTGGCTTCGCGTGCTACACGGAGTGTGGCGACTTGAACTTCCGCACATTTGTGCAAAGTTCTATGTCGAAAACAGACGGACAGACAGACAGACAGACTTAGTATCCCGGGAGCAATATAGATCTAGTTTGCTGACGGAAACTCTTCAAATCGATTAATCAGAAGATTGAGCACCATACAATGACAGTACTACACCTGACTACATGGATTAACCGATAGCCGAAGATTTCATG